CGGTCAATATTAAAATTCTTACAAAATACAATGTTTAATACATAGAAAGAACATTGAAGTCCATTTCCATAATACACTATTTTCATATTATGTAATATATAAATAAAAGACTTTCACTCAATCAGTACGTTATAACTCTTCGTCAAAAGTCCATAATTAGAAAATATCTAGTGTATATATAAATTAGGCAGCAACCCGACAACACAAGTATTAAAAGCATTTTAAGATAAAAACAGAGTTTTTCGGATAGCTGTCATAGACAGGCGTCTTTACAATATCATGACTATGGCAAGTTTTAATCTACCCGGACTTTAATAAGTTGTACCTTAATTAAACAGATACAGTCACAAATTTGCAATCGACAACAAATTTTCAAAATAGCAAACATTCATTTAGACAAAGCATAAGGCAAATCTATAATAAGCACTGTTATAGTCTATCAAAAATGCTGTATTATATGGAAGGTTCGTTAGGATGAGCCTGACAATAAACATTTATGTAATCCTACATTTGAATATATTTTGCTGTACTTCATAGAATATTTCATATAGCAACGTCATATATTATACAAGAACACAATACAAAACCTATCATAATTTTTACTGAAATTTTATTTAGAAATGTAAAATAAAGATTTTACTTTTGATTTAAGCTATACTTAAGAACGTTGTGATATCACCTCTAGTTTTAACTGGAGTTCGTGTTGATCAGTTGTTAGTTTTCTATGTAGTATTTGGTAGACTTGTTGAACTTTTCGTCGTCTTAAATTTTGTTGCTAAGGCGTTGTCGGTTTCTCGTCGACTGATGAGTTTTAAAATGACACTTTGGTATCATCTACACCTCTTTTAGGTGTAACACCACAAATTCGGGCCCGGCCAGAAAGCACATACCAGAAAGTAGTACATATTTAACACAAAATAGTTCCTACACATGAGTGTAACTTTCAAAATATGTAGAATATTTAGATATTTTTGGTATCAAATGAAAGCTGAAAGACTGTTGATTATTGTAGAACACGTTTTGATTTATTATTTTGAAAATTGAAAAAACTGCATCAAATTTTAAAAAGAGGGTACATTTTGTCAGATCTGAAGTACCTGTTTTGGTACATCCGAAAAGAGCTATGCCTGCTTGAAATTGAAAAATTTAACATAGAAAGCAATGAGGCCATGAATTAGTGGTGTACTTCCTTTATATATGTAAAAAAAAACAAATGCAGTGATAGAACACCAACAGTATAGTTTTAACCTTGATCAATACGTCTATCGCAATACCAATAAAATATGAAAGCAAATGTCTCAATTTTCTACATCTTAACAGCATATTACCGGACGAACCTAGATGTTATATAAGAGCTGAGTAAGAAATAAACCTGACGTCAAAAGGATGATTACAATTTTACTCATGGTGTACTTTTCAATTTTATGTAGCAATTATCATGCAATCAAAAATTAAATATGATTCAAAATAGGATAACTTATCATCAAACACTTAATGATCAATTTCAGCGGCTTTTTAACAATGAACAAAGCCCATACCGTATAGTTAGCTATAAAAAAAAATTAAAAAGACTAGATGTGAACCGTTTAAATAAACAGCAAGGGCCAAATTGTACAACAATAATTAACGGCAAACAGTTATTGCAGACAAATACCAACGACATAAATATATTTTATTAATGCAATATTTCAAGGTTGGATTTTCGATAATTATTCCATGATGGAGGGCTACTCCTTATCACAGAAACACTGCACGAAACGTTTTGGATGACAATACCTTTCTACTTTGGCAAATTTACGAGACCAACATCAATTTGGTCCACTGTTATAGAATATCTATATTACAGGTGATCACGATATTATTTTGATTGTCAGAAACTAAACCAAGTCCATTCTTTCTCGTTAATGTCTTCACTAAGTACAACTTACCGCGAGATTATATCAAGACAGAAGCCCCGTTCTTTAATCCAGTGCTATTGTTCGTATTTCTACTTCAAACTTTTTGATTTGTCATGTTGAAAAATTAGAAACCTTACTTATACTGATGGTGCATACAGAAAAATCAAACACGTAGGTTTAGACAAGCTACATATACCAATCCGCTATTCTACAAACCGTTGAAATGAACTTGTATACGAAGGAATGTAACAGAACCGAAGGCATCAACATGTTCAATGCAACATTAGCTATCGGTACGTTCGGAGCTTCTGAATGCACCACTGGTTTTAATAGGGGTTTTATTTAATCGTATGTCTATTTAAAGTGAAAACATTTTTTATTGTGCAGATACCACTCCACGTAAAATTAAAGCGTTGCAAAGCTTGGAAATACCTGAAAATAGTAACGGTAAGCTAATAATGAAACACAAATCGGTTTAGCATCCAAATATCAGTTGACCCCACAGAGTTATGGCCCTTATATGACTATGTTAACCCTTTTGATGTTGTAGACAAAAGGTATAGGAGATAGAAAGAAACCTCATTATTGATACAATATTTCAAGGTTTTGTTTCTAATCATTATTTCATGATGGAGGCTACTGCTTCTCAGGGACACATTGCACAAATGCTTCTTGATGACAAAGTCATTTCTTCTTTGGCAAATATACGGGACCAATACCAATGTGGTCTACTGTTATAGAGTATCTATAGCTTGCACTTCTGTAAATATAGACAACGCAATTTCCCATTGGAACTAAAATTGTGCCACTTTTACTATGAAGTTTCGTACACAATTATATTACAGACAAGAATGGAAAGATCATTTGCACTTAGTCTACCATTTTTGTAGAGTTCAAAACGTAGGGCTATGCGGCATATTCTCAAAATGTTTATGTCTCGAACTTTAATAGTTTAAACTTACACTTAAATTATGTTCTACCCTTCCCTCTTCTTTGGGTCTTCCAAAGAATTCAATTTGGCCGATATCCATGTGTATTCATACTGGTAAAATTCCCAAAAGGTGTCTCTGTCAGATGAAACATAGAGATCATATTTGAGAACCAGTAGGTAAACAAAACAAAATATCTACGAATATCAAATATCTCCAAAAAGAGGCGTGGTTTGTTAAACAGCTGTATTTACAAAATGAAACGTATATACCAGGTGATCACGACTTTATTTTGATTGTCAGAGACTCAACCAATTCCATTCTTCCTCGTTAATGTCTTCGCTAAGTACAACTGACTGCGGGATTATATCACGATAGCTTCCCCGTTCTTTAATCCCGTGCAATTGTTCGTATTTTATTTCAAACTTGATATATTTTTTTTAAATTAGAAACTTTTCACATACTGATGGTGTATCAGGAAATATCAACCAAGTAAGTTTAGACAAGTCAAATCTACCAATCTGTTATTCTACAAACAAATCAACTTGTATACGAAGAAATATAACGATCAACTTGTATACAAAGAAATATAACGATCAACTTGTATACGAAGAAATATAACGAAACCGAAGGCATCAATGAAACAGGAGTTACCCGGCCTTTCGGAACTTCTGATTTCACCGCTGGTTTTAATAGGGATTTTATTTAATCGTATGTCAATTTAATGTGAAAACATGTTTTACTGTACAGATACCACACCACGTAAAATTGAAGCGTTGCAAAGGTTGGATTTGCTGAAAAATAATAATGGTAAGTTAATAATGAAACTGAAATCGGTTTTGTATCCAAATATCATTTGATCCCACGGAGTTATGACTATGTTTACCCTTTTTCATATTTTAGACTAAAAGTATGGAAAAGAAACCGTAAACAGCTAAAATTACCAACACAACAAGCACTTAATCACAGTAGTTATTGCCTTTAAACGGTTATATATACTTTTTTGTATGTTTTGGCAACACTGTTTTAGATAGAAATTAATTATAGACCAAAAAAATAATTCGTCTATGTAAGATCACTGAAAAGAGATTGTATTCAACAATTTTCGAAAGATATGTCTAGAGTTTAAACTTATACTAGAATTATGTACTACCCTTCCCTCTACTTTTGGTCTTCCTCAGAACTCAATTTGGCCGATATCCATGTGTATTCATACTGGTGAAATTCCCAAGATGTGTCTCTGCGAGATGAAACATAGAGATCATATCTGAGAACCAGTAGGTAAACAGAACAAAATATCTACGAATATCAAATATCTCTCCAAAAGAAGCGTTGTTTGCTAAACAGCTGTATTTACAAAGTGAACATATATACCAGGTGATCACGAATTTATTTTGATTGACAGAGACGTAACCAAGTACATTCTTCATCCTTTTTGTCTTCGCTAAGTACAACTGACCTCCGGATTATATCACAACAACTGTCCCGTTCTTTAATCCCGTGCAATTGACGACAAACAGTTATTGCAGACAGAAATCAACGACATAAATATATTTTATCAATGCAATATTGTAAGGTTTGATTTTCGATAATTTGTCCATGATGGAGGGCTACTCCTTATCACAGACATACTGCATGAAAGGTTCTGGATGACAAAGCCTTTCTACTTTGGCAAATTTACGAGACCAACATCAATTTGGTCCACTGTTATAGAATATCTATATTACAGGTGATCACAAATTTATTTTGATTGTCAGAAACTAAACCAAGTCCATTCTTTCTCGTTAGTGTCTTCACTAAGTACAACTTACCGCGAGATTATATCAAGACAGAAGCCCCGTTCTTTAATCCAGAGCTATTGTTCGTATTTCTACTTCAAACTTTTTGATTTGTCTTGTTGAAAAATAAGAAACCTTACTTATACTGATGGTGCATTCAGCAAAATCAAACACGTAGGTTTAGACAAGCTACATATACCAATCCGCTATTCTACAAACCGTTGAAATGAACTTGTATACGAAGGAATGTAACAGAACCAAAGGCATCAACATGTTCAATGCAACAGTAGCTACTGGTACTTTCGGAGCTTCTGATTGTAACACTTAGTTTAATTAGGGTTTTATTTATTCGTATGTTTATATAATGTGAAAACTTTTTTTATTGTACAGATACCACTCCACGTAAAATTGAAGCGTTGCAAAGCTTGGAATTGCCGGAAAATAGTAACGGTAAGCTAATAATGAAACACAAATCGGGTTAGCATCCAAATATCAGTTGACCCCGTAGAGTTATGGCCCTTATTTGATTATGTTAACCCTTTTTATATTGTAGACAAAAGGTATAGGAGATAGAAAGGAAACCTTATTATTGATACAATATAACAAGGTTTTGTTTCTAATCATTATTTCACGATGGAGGCTACTGCTTTTCAGAGACACATTGCACAAATGTTTCTGGATGAGAATATCATTTCTTCTTTTGCAAATATACGGAACCAATACCAATTTGGTCCACTGTTAAAGAGTATTTATAGCTTGCACTTCTATGAATATAGTCAACGCAATTTCCCATTGGAACTAAAATTGTGCCATTTTTACTATGAAGTTTCGTACAAAATTATATTACAGACAAGAATTGAAAGATCATTTGCGCTAATCCGTTTTTTTTAAAGGTCAACACATAGGGCTTTTCGGCATATTTTCAATATGTATGTGTCTAGAACTTCTAAGAGTTTAAACTTATACTAGAATTATGTACTACCCTTCCCTCTACTTTGGGTCTTCCTCAGAATTCAATTTGGCCGATATCCATGTGTATTTATACTGGTAAAATTCCCAAGATGTGTCTCTGTGAGATAAAACATAGAGATCATATCTGAGAACCAGTAGGTAAACAGAACAAAATATCTACGAATATCAAATATCTCTCCAAAAGAAGCGTAGTTTGCTAAACAGCTGTATTTACAAAGTGAACATATATACCAGGTGATCACGAATTTATTTTGATTGACAGAGACGTAACCAAGTACATTCTTCATCCTTTATGTCTTCGCTAAGTACAACTGACCTCCGGATTATATCACAACAACTGTCCCGTTCTTTAATCCCGTGCAATTGACGACAAACAGTTATTGCAGACAGAAATCAACGACATAAATATATTTTATCAATGCAATATTGTAAGGTTTGATTTTCGATAAATTGTCCATGATGGAGGGCTACTCCTTATCACAGACACACTGCATGAAAGGTTCTGGATGACAAAGCCTTTCTACTTTGGCAAATTTACGAGACCAACATCAATTTGGTCCACTGTTATAGAATATCTATATTACAGGTGATCACAAATTTATTTTGATTTTCAGACACTAAACCAAGTCCATTCTTTCTCGTTAATGTCTTCACTAAGTACAACTTACCGCGAGATTATATCAAGACAGAAGTCCCGTTCTTTAATACAGTGCTATTGTTCGTATTTCTACTTCAAACTGTCTAATTTGTCATGTTGAAAAATTAGAAACCTTACTTATACTGATGGTGCATACAGAAAAATCAAACACGTAGGTTTAGACAAGCTACATATATCAATCCGCTATTCTACAAACCGTTGAAATGAACTTGTATACGACGGACTGTAACAGAACCGTAGGCATCAACATGTTCAATGCAATAGTAATTACCGGTACGTGCGGAGCTTCTGAATGCACCACTGGTTTTAATAGGGGTTTTATTAAATCGTATGTCTATTTAAAGTGAAAACATTTTTTATTGTACAGATACCACTCCACGTAAAATTGAAGCGTTGCAAAGCTTGGAAATGCCGGAAAATAGTAACGGTAAGCTAATAATGAAACACAAATCGGTTTAGCATCCAAATATCAGTTGACCCCACAGAGTTATGGCCCTTATATGACTATGTTAACCCTTTTGATGTTGTAGACAAAAGGTATAGGAGATAGAAAGAAACCTCATTATTGATACAATATTTCAAGGTTTTGTTTCTAATCATTATTTCATGATGGAGGCTACTGCTTCTCAGGGACACATTGCACAAATGCTTCTTGATGACAAAGTCATTTCTTCTTTGGCAAATATACGGGACCAATACCAATTTGGTCTACTGTTATAGAGTATCTATAGCTTGCACTTCTGTAAATATAGACAACGCAATTTCCCATTGGAACTAAAATTGTGCCACTTTGACTATGAAGTTTCGTACACAATTATATTACAGACAAGAATGGAAAGATCATTTGCACTTAGTCTACCATTTTTATTAGAGTTCAAAACATAGGGCTATGCGGCATATTCTCAAAATGTTTATGTCTCGAACTTTAATAGTTTAAACTTACACTTAAATTATGTTCTACCCTTCCCTATTCTTTGGGTCTTCCACAGAATTCAATTTGGCCGATATCCTTGTGTATTCATACTGGTAAAATTCCCAAAATGTGTCTCTGTGAGATGAAACATAGAGATCATATTTGAGAACCAGTAGGTAAACAAAACAAAATATCTACGAATATCAAATATCTCCCAAAAGAGGCGTGGTTTGTTAAACAGCTGTATTTACAAAATGAAACGTATATATCAGGTGATTACGAATTTATTTTGATTGTCAGAGACTTAACCAATTCCATTCTTCCTCGTTAATGTCTTCGCTGAGTACAACTGACTGCTGGATTATATCACGACAGCTGCCCCGTTCTTTAATCCCGTGCAATTGTTCGTATTTTATTTCAAACTTGATATATCTTTTTTCAATTAAAAACTTTTCTCATACTGATGGTGTATCAGGAAATATCAACCAAGTAGGTTTAGACAAGTCACATCTACCAATCTGTTATTCTACAAACAAATCAACTTGTATACGAAGAAATATAACGATCAACCTGTATACAAAGAAATATAACGATCAACTTGTATACGAAGAAATATAACGAAACCGAAGGCATCAATGAAACAGGAGTTACCCGGCCTTTTGGAACTTCTGATTTCACCGCTGGTTTTAATAGGGATTTTATTTAATCGTATGTCAATTTAATGTGAAAACATGTTTTATTGTACAGATACCACACCACGTAAAATTGAAGCGTTGCAAAGGTTGGATTTGCTGAAAAATAATAATGGTAAGTTAATAATGAAACAGAAATTGGTTTTGTATCCAAATATCATTTAATCCCACGGAGTTATGACTATGTTTACCCTTTTTTATATTTTAGACTAAAAGTATGGAAAAGAAACCGTAAACAGCAAAAATTACCAACACAACAAGCACTTAATCACAGTAGTTATTGCCTTTGAACGGTTATATATACTTTTTTGTATGTTTTGGCAACACTGTTTTAGATAGAAATTAATTATAGACCAAAAAAATAATTCGTCAATGTAAGATCACTGAAAAGAGATTGTATTCAACAATTTTCGAAAGATATGTCTAGAGTTTAAACTTATACTAGAATTATGTACTACCCTTCCCTCTACTTTTGGTCTTCCTCAGAACTCAATTTGGCCGATATCCATGTGTATTCATACTGGTGAAATTCCCAAGATGTGTCTCTGTGAGATAAAACATAGAGAGCATATCTGAGAACCAGTAGGTAAACAGAACAAAATATCTACGAATATCAAATATCTCTCCAAAAGAAGCGTTGTTTGCTAAACAGCTGTATTTACAAAGTGAACATATATACCAGGTGATCACGAATTTATTTTGATTGACAGAGACGTAACCAAGTACATTCTTCATCCTTTTTGTCTTCGCTAAGTACAACTGACCTCCGGATTATATCACAACAACTGTCCCGTTCTTTAATCCCGTGCAATTGACGACAAACAGTTATTGCAGACAGAAATCAACGACATAAATATATTTTATCAATGCAATATTGTAAGGTTTGATTTTCGATAATTTGTCCATGATGGAGGGCTACTCCTTATCACAGACATACTGCATGAAAGGTTCTGGATGACAAAGCCTTTCTACTTTGGCAAATTTACGAGACCAACATCAATTTGGTCCACTGTTATAGAATATCTATATTACAGGTGATCACAAATTTATTTTGATTGTCAGAAACTAAACCAAGTCCATTCTTTCTCGTTAGTGTCTTCACTAAGTACAACTTACCGCGAGATTATATCAAGACAGAAGCCCCGTTCTTTAATCCAGAGCTATTGTTCGTATTTCTACTTCAAACTTTTTGATTTGTCATGTTGAAAAATAAGAAACCTTACTTATACTGATGGTGCATTCAGCAAAATCAAACACGTAGGTTTAGACAAGCTACATATACCAATCCGCTATTCTACAAACCGTTGAAATGAACTTGTATACGAAGGAATGTAACAGAACCAAAGGCATCAACATGTTCAATGCAACAGTAGCTACTGGTACTTTCGGAGCTTCTGATTGTAACACTTAGTTTAATTAGGGTTTTATTTATTCGTATGTTTATATAATGTGAAAACTTGTTTTATTGTACAGATACCACTCCACGTAAAATTGAAGCGTTGCAAAGCTTGGAATTGCCGGAAAATAGTAACGGTAAGCTAATAATGAAACACAAATCGGGTTAGCATCCAAATATCAGTTGACCCCGTAGAGTTATGGCCCTTATTTAATTATGTTAACCCTTTTTATATTGTAGACAAAAGGTATAGGAGATAGAAAGGAAACCTTATTATTGATACAATATAACAAGGTTTTGTTTCTAATCATTATTTCACGATGGAGGCTACTGCTTTTCAGAGACACATTGCACAAATGTTTCTGGATGAGAATATCATTTCTTCTTTTGCAAATATACGGAACCAATACCAATTTGGTCCACTGTTAAAGAGTATTTATAGCTTGCACTTCTATGAATATAGTCAACGCAATTTCCCATTGGAACTAAAATTGTGCCATTTTTACTATGAAGTTTCGTACAAAATTATATTACAGACAAGAATTGAAAGATCATTTGCGCTAATCCGTTTTTTTTAAAGGTCAACACATAGGGCTTTTCGGCATATTTTCAATATGTATGTGTCTAGAACTTCTAAGAGTTTAAACTTATACTAGAATTATGTACTACCCTTCCCTCTACTTTGGGTCTTCCTCAGAATTCAATTTGGCCGATATCCATGTGTATTTATACTGGTAAAATTCCCAAGATGTGTCTCTGTGAGATAAAACATAGAGATCATATCTGAGAACCAGTAGGTAAACAGAACAAAATATCTACGAATATCAAATATCTCTCCAAAAGAAGCGTAGTTTGCTAAACAGCTGTAGTTACAAAGTGAACATATATACCAGGTGATCACGAATTTATTTTGATTGACAGAGACGTAACCAAGTACATTCTTCATCCTTTATGTCTTCGCTAAGTACAACTGACCTCCGGATTATATCACAACAACTGTCCCGTTCTTTAATCCCGTGCAATTGACGACAAACAGTTATTGCAGACAGAAATCAACGACATAAATATATTTTATCAATGCAATATTGTAAGGTTTGATTTTCGATAAATTGTCCATGATGGAGGGCTACTCCTTATCACAGACACACTGCATGAAAGGTTCTGGATGACAAAGCCTTTCTACTTTGGCAAATTTACGATACCAACATCAATTTGGTCCACTGTTATAGAATATCTATATTACAGGTGATCACAAATTTATTTTGATTTTCAGAAACTAAACCAAGTCCATTCTTTCTCGTTAATGTCTTCACTAAGTACAACTTACCGCGAGATTATATCAAGACAGAAGTCCCGTTCTTTAATACAGTGCTATTGTTCGTATTTCTACTTCAAACTGTCTAATTTGTCATGTTGAAAAATTAGAAACCTTACTTATACTGATGGTGCATACAGCAAAATCAAACACGTAGGTTTAGACAAGCTACATATATCAATCCGCTATTCTACAAACCGTTGAAATGAACTTGTATACGACGGACTGTAACAGAACCGTAGGCATCAACATGTTCAATGCAATAGTAATTACCGGTACGTGCGGAGCTTCTGAATGCACCACTGGTTTTAATAGGGGTTTTATTAAATCGTATGTCTATTTAAAGTGAAAACATTTTTTATTGTACAGATACCACTCCACGTAAAATTGAAGCGTTGCAAAGCTTGGAAATGCCGGAAAATAGTAACGGTAAGCTAATAATGAAACACAAATCGGTTTAGCATCCAAATATCAGTTGACCCCACAGAGTTATGGCCCTTATATGACTATGTTAACCCTTTTGATGTTGTAGACAAAAGGTATAGGAGATAGAAAGAAACCTCATTATTGATACAATATTTCAAGGTTTTGTTTCTAATCATTATTTCATGATGGAGGCTACTGCTTCTCAGGGACACATTGCACAAATGCTTCTTGATGACAAAGTCATTTCTTCTTTGGCAAATATACGGGACCAATACCAATTTGGTCTACTGTTATAGAGTATCTATAGCTTGCACTTCTGTAAATATAGACAACGCAATTTCCCATTGGAACTAAAATTGTGCCACTTTTACTATGAAGTTTCGTACACAATTATATTAGAGACAAGAATGGAAAGATCATTTGCACTTAGTCTGCCATTTTTATTAGAGTTCAAAACATAGGGCTATGCGGCATATTCTCAAAATGTTTATGTCTCGAACTTTAATAGTTTAAACTTACACTTAAATTATGTTCTACCCTTCCCTATTCTTTGGGTCTTCCACAGAATTCAATTTGGCCGATATCCTTGTGTATTCATACTGGTAAAATTCCCAAAATGTGTCTCTGTGAGATGAAACATAGAGATCATATTTGAGAACCAGTAGGTAAACAAAACAAAATATCTACGAATATCAAATATCTCCCAAAAGAGGCGTGGTTTGTTAAACAGCTGTATTTACAAAATGAAACGTATATATCAGGTGATCACGAATTTATTTTGATTGTCAGAGACTTAACCAATTCCATTCTTCCTCGTTAATGTCTTCGCTGAGTACAACTGACTGCTGGATTATATCACGACAGCTGCCCCGTTCTTTAATCCCGTGCAATTGTTCGTATTTTATTTCAAACTTGATATATCTTTTTTCAATTAAAAACTTTTCTCATACTGATGGTGTATCAGGAAATATCAACCAAGTAGGTTTAGACAAGTCACATCTACCAATCTGTTATTCTACAAACAAATCAACTTGTATACGAAGAAATATAACTATCAACCTGTATACAAAGAAATATAACGATCAACTTGTATACGAAGAAATATAACGAAACCGAAGGCATCAATGAAACAGGAGTTACCCGGCCTTTTGGAACTTCTGATTTCACCGCTGGTTTTAATAGGGATTTTATTTAATCGTATGTCAATTTAATGTGAAAACATGTTTTATTGTACAGATACCACACCACGTAAAATTGAAGCGTTGCAAAGGTTGGATTTGCTGAAAAATAATAATGGTAAGTTAATAATGAAACAGAAATTGGTTTTGTATCCAAATATCATTTGATCCCACGGAGTTATGACTATGTTTACCCTTTTTTATATTTTAGACTAAAAGTATGGAAAAGAAACCGTAAACAGCAAAAATTACCAACACAACAAGCACTTAATCACAGTAGTTATTGCCTTTGAACGGTTATATATACTTTTTTGTATGTTTTGGCAACACTGTTTTAGATAGAAATTAATTATAGACCAAAAAAATAATTCGTCAATGTAAGATCACTGAAAAGAGATTGTATTCAACAATTTTCGAAAGATATGTCTAGAGTTTAAACTTATACTAGAATTATGTACTACCCTTCCCTCTACTTTTGGTCTTCCTCAGAACTCAATTTGGCCGATATCCATGTGTATTCATACTGGTGAAATTCCCAAGATGTGTCTCTGTGAGATAAAACATAGAGATCATATCTGAGAACCAGTAGGTAAACAGAACAAAATATCTACGAATATCAAATATCTCTCCAAAAGAAGCGTTGTTTGCTAAACAGCTGTATTTACAAAGTGAACATATATACCAGGTGATCACGAATTTATTTTGATTGACAGAGACGTAACCAAGTACATTCTTCATCCTTTTTGTCTTCGCTAAGTACAACTGACCTCCGGATTATATCACAACAACTGTCCCGTTCTTTAATCCCGTGCAATTGACGACAAACAGTTATTGCAGACAGAAATCAACGACATAAATATATTTTATCAATGCAATATTGTAAGGTTTGATTTTCGATAAATTGTCCATGATGGAGGGCTACTCCTTATCACAGACATACTGCATGAAAGGTTCTGGATGACAAAGCCTTTCTACTTTGGCAAATTTACGAGACCGACATCAATTTGGTCCACTGTTATAGAATATCTATATTACAGGTGATCACAAATTTATTTTGATTGTCAGAAACTAAACCAAGTCCATTCTTTCTCGTTAATGTCTTCACTAAGTACAACTTACCGCGAGATTATATCAAGACAGAAGCCCCGTTCTTTAATCCAGTGCTATTGTTCGTATTTTTACTTCAAACTTTTTGATTTGTCATGTTGAAAAATAAGAAACCTTACTTATACTGATGGTGCATTCAGCAAAATCAAACACGTAGGTTTAGACAAGCTACATATACCAATCCGCTATTCTACAAACCGTTGAAATGAACTTGTATACGAAGGAATGTAACAGAACCAAAGGCATCAACATGTTCAATGCAACAGTAGCTACCGGTACTTTCGGAGCTTCTGATTGTAACACTTAGTTTAATTAGGGTTTTATTTATTCGTATGTTTATATAATGTGAAAACTTGTTTTATTGTACAGATACCACTCCACGTAAAATTGAAGCGTTGCAAAGCTTGGAATTGCCGGAAAATAGTAACGGTAAGCTAATAATGAAACACAAATCGGGTTAGCATCCAAATATCAGTTGACCCCGTAGAGTTATGGCCCTTATTTGATTATGTTAACCCTTTTTATATTGTAGACAAAAGGTATAGGAGATAGAAAGAAACCTTATTATTGATACAATATAACAAGGTTTTGTTTCTAATCATTATTTCATGATGGAGGCTACTGCTTTTCAGAGACACATTGCACAAATGTTTCTGGATGAGAATATCATTTCTTCTTTTGCAAATATACGGAACCAATACCAATTTGGTCCACTGTTAAAGAGTATTTATAGCTTGCACTTCTATGAATATAGTCAACGCAATTTCCCATTGGAACTAAAATTGTGCCATTTTTACTATGAAGTTTCGTACAAAGTTATATTACAGACAAGAATGGAAAGATCATTTGCGCTAATCCGTTTTTTTTAAAGGTCAAAACATAGGGCTTTTCGGCATATTGTGTCTAGAACTTCTAAGAGTTTAAACTTATACTAGAATTATGTACTACCCTTCCCTCTACTTTGGGTCTTCCTCAGAATTCAATTTGGCCGATATCCATGTGTATTTATACTGGTAAAATTCCCAAGATGTGTCTCTGTGAGATAAAACATAGAGATCATATCTGAGAACCAGTAGGTAAACAGAACAAAATATCTACGAATATCAAATATCTCTCCAAAAGAAGCGTAGTTTGCTAAACAGCTGTATTTACAAAGTGAACATATATACCAGGTGATCACGAATTTATTTTGATTGACAGAGACGTAACCAAGTACATTCTTCATCCTTTATGTCTTCGCTAAGTACAACTGACCTCCGGATTATATCACAACAACTGTCCCGTTCTTTAATCCCGTGCAATTGACGACAAACAGTTATTGCAGACAGAAATCAACGACATAAATATATTTTATCAATGCAATATTGTAAGGTTTGATTTTTGATAAATTGTCCATGATGGAGGGCTACTCCTTATCACAGACATACTGCATGAAAGGTTCTGGATGACAAAGCCTTTCTACTTTGGCAAATTTACGAGACCAACATCAATTTGGTCCACTGTTATAGAATATCTATATTACAGGTGATCACAAATTTATTTTGATTTTCAGAAACTAAACCAAGTCCATTCTTTCTCGTTAATGTCTTCACTAAATACAACTTACCGCGAGATTATATCAAGACAGAAGTCCCGTTCTTTAATACAGTGCTATTGTTCGTATTTCTACTTCAAACTGTCTAATTTGTCATGTTGAAAAATTAGAAACCTTACTTATACTGAAGGTGCATACAGAAAAATCAAACACGTAGGTTTAGACAAGCTACATATACCAATCCGCTATTCTACAAACCGTTGAAATGAACTTGTATACGACGGACTGTAACAGAACCGTAGGCATCAACATGTTCAATGCAATAGTAATTACCGGTACGTGCGGAGCTTCTGAATGCACCACTGGTTTTAATAGGGGTTTTATTAAATCGTATGTCTATTTAAAGTGAAAACATTTTTTATTTGTACAGATACCACTCCACGTAAAATTGAAGCGTTGCAAAGCTTGGAAATGCCGGAAAATAGTAACGGTAAGCTAATAATGAAACACAAATCGGTTTAGCATCCAAATATCAGTTGACCCCACAGAGTTATGGCCCTTATATGACTATGTTAACCCTTTTGATGTTGTAGACAAAAGGTATAGGAGATAGAAAGAAACCTCATTATTGATACAATATTTCAAGGTTTTGTTTCTAATCATTATTTCATGATGGAGGCTACTGCTTCTCAGGGACACATTGCACAAATGCTTCTTGATGACAAAGTCATTTCTTCTTTGGCAAATATACGGGACCAATACCAATTTGGTCTACTGTTATAGAGTATCTATAGCTTGCACTTCTGTAAATATAGACAACGCAATTTCCCATTGGAACTAAAATTGTGCCACTTTTACTATGAAGTTTCGTACACAATTATATTACAGACAAGAATGGAAAGATCATTTGCACTGAGTCTACCATATTTTTTAGAGTTCAAAACATAGGGCTATGCGGCATATTCTCAAAATGTTTATGTCTCGAACTTTAATAGTTTAAACTTACACTTAAATTATGTTCTACCCTTCCCTCTTCTTTGGGTCTTCAACAGAATTCAATTTGGCCGATATCCATGTGTATTCATACTGGTAAAATTCCCAAAATGTGTCTCTGTGAGATGAAACATAGAGATCATATTTGAGAACCAGTAGGTAAACAAAACAAAATATCTACGAATATCAAATATCTCCCAAAAGAGGCGTGGTTTGTTAAACAGCTGTATTTACAAAATGAAACGTATATATCAGGTGATCACGAATTCATTTTGATTGTCAGAGACTTAACCAATTCCATTCTTCCTCGTTAATGTCTTCGCTGAGTACAACTGACTGCTGGATTATATCACGACAGCTGCCCCGTTCTTTAATCCCGTGCAATTGTTCGTATTTTATTTCAAACTTGATATATTTTTGTTCAATTAAAAACTTTTCTCATACTGATGGTGTATCAGGAAATATCAACCAAGTAGGTTTAGACAAGTCACATCTACCAATCTGTTATTCTACAAACAAATCAACTTGTATACGAAGAAATATAACGATCAACCTGTATACAAAGAAATATAACGATCAACTTGTATACGAAGAAATATAACGAAACCGAAGGCATCAATGAAACAGGAGTTACCCGGCCTTTTGGAACTTCTGATTTCACCGCTGGTTTTAATAGGGATTTTATTTAATCGTATGTCAATTTAATGTGAAAACATGTTTTATTGTACAGATACCACACCACGTAAAATTGAAGCGTTGCAAAGGTTGGATTTGCTGAAAAATAATAATGGTAAGTTAATAATGAAACAGAAATTGGTTTTGTATCCAAATATCATTTGATCCCACGGAGTTATGACTATGTTTACCCTTTTTTATATTTTAGACTAAAAGTATGGAAAAGAAACCGTAAACAGCAAAAATTACCAACACAACAAGCACTTAATCACAGTAGTTATTGCCTTTGAACGGTTATATATACTTTTTTGTATGTTTTGGCAACACTGTTTTAGATAGAAATTAATTATAGACCAAAAACATAATTCGTCAATGTAAGATCACTGAAAAGAGATTGTATTCAACAATTTTCGAAAGATATGTCTAGAGTTTAAACTTATACTAGAATTATGTACTACCCTTCCCTCTACTTTTGGTCTTCCTCAGAACTCAATTTGGCCGATATCCATGTGTATTCATACTGGTGAAATTCCCAAGATGTGTCTCTGTGAGATAAAACATAGAGATCATATCTGAGAACCAGTAGGTAAACAGAACAAAATATCTACGAATATCAAATATCTCTCCAAAAGAAGCGTTGTTTGCTAAACAGCTGTATTTACAAAGTGAACATATATACCAGGTGATCACGAATTTATTTTGATTGACAGAGACGTAACCAAGTACATTCTTCATCCTTTTTGTCTTCGCTAAGTACAACTGACCTCCGGATTATATCACAACAACTGTCCCGTTCTTTAATCCCGTGC